AACAAAGACCTAAGTTGTCATTTTCAAACTTAGAGAGTAATATCTGGAGATTACAGTGCCTGAAGGTACTAAGGAATTCTTCTGACACTTGATTTCCCTGTCAGAAGAATCTCAAAAAAGGGGTCAGTTGAGAGTGAATAAATTTAAAAAGAACTCCAAAGTAGAAGCATTTATATTTTTCTTCCCTAGAATATAAAGTAGAAGAGTTTCAGATTTCAGTGTTTGGAAAGTTTTTATGAGAAATTATTGTCATTTTTATAGTATGGAATCTAGTATACTTTTCAAAAATTGCTTATTACTAGCATAAATTTTGGCCTTACAAATGCCTAAAATTATAGTGATTATATTTCAAAATGCTGTCTTGTAAGGTGAAGGCTTTATATAGCTCACTAATATCAACAGGTTTGCAGTTACGAGTACAAGATACAATCCCACTGTAAACACCAAAGCAGACTTGTAAGATGTTAGTGTTGATTTTTTCCTAAAGTGTGTTGCTTTTTTCCTAATCATGAGTGTTCACTCTTTTCTCTTCTGATTGCCGAGGGTGGGGGGGGGGGAATGGGGGGTAACATGGGGATAAGTACACATATGTAATAATTTAATCAATAAAAAAATTTTTTAAAAAAGTAGAAACCGTTTAGAACATGGCATATTGAACAGATAAAGATGCCCTTTGTCTTTGCTTCCCAAAGTGAGGCCAAGATGATTTAGGAGCTTATACCCAAGCAAACTGCTTAAAATGTCTTAGTGCATTTGTTGTAAGTTTGCATTAGAAAAATTACAAAAGAAATCCTCTAACAAAGTTTCACTTTAAAATACATTTATGTTTTATCTTGGGTGAGTGTTGTGTTTTGTTTTGTTTTTAGGAACAAGGAAATAGCAATTCAGAGGACATCAAGACCAGGCAAAAACCCTAAGGCTGGATGTAAATAGCTCAAGTCCAGGCAGAGAAACATTGCTTTAGCACTGCCTTTCCAATCCAACTCCAAAATATCAACTTCTTTAATACTTACTCTGAAATAGGTATTATTGTGATGTCCTAGCAGTAAACATTTTCGTTCATTAGGAAGCTACACATTTTCTGTCTAATTTTATAACAGAATTACTAACTACAAGAATCTAAAGCAGCGGTTCTCAACCTGTGGGTCGAGACCCCTTTGGGGGTCGAACGACCCTTTCACAGGGATCGCCTAAGACCATCGGAAAACACATATATAATTACATATTGTTTTTGTGATTAATCACTATGCTTTAATTATGTTCAATTTGTAACAATGAAAATACATCCTGCATATCAGATAGTTACATGACGATTCATAACAGTAGCAAAATTACAGTTATGAAGTGGCAACGAAAATAATTTTATGGTTAAGGGTCACCACAACATGAGGAACTGTATTAAAGGGTCGCGGCATTAGGAAGGTTGAGAACCACTGATCTAAAGGATACTTAGAGAACAAATTAATATCATCATTTCATCTTGCAGGTGATTACTTTTTTCAAATGTGCCTTAGTGACCTCATCAAAATGTGAACCCAAGTGTCCTCACTCTCAGCTCCGCCACCACTCACCACCACTACCCAGAATCCTGGCTATGAATATTGGTCTCTGCAAAGAGCTTTTTCTAGTACAGACAGCTTCCAAAATCATTCTTCAGTTTCAGCCTACAATCACTAAATAGTTGCAAATACAATAGCTTACAGAGCAGTGTCACAAAGGCCCGTGTTCCTCAAAAGATTTTTAACTGAAAGATATGTGAATCAACAAGTATATAAGAAAAATGCACTGGGCTTATCACAAAGACTAGGCTAGGACATAGCACATTACTAAGTTTTAAACCTCTAAGAGTGTTAGCTTATTTTTGCTAATACTCAATAAGTTCTAAAAAAAAATCAGGAAAATCCACCAAGTTTTCAAAAACTAAAATAAGTATAGATTAGTGCAAATAGCAGGCCTACAAGCAGGTTTTCTGTACGAAACACCCAAATCATGACTAAAATAAAGGGGGAAAAACACTTTCAAATGAAAGGCTAGAAGTAATTAAGGAATGAGGAGAAGAGGGCAATAAATAACTGATTTTAGAGGCAGAATTTGAAGCTAAAAATAAAAATACTTCAGAATTAAAAGTGGCCACTCAAAAATGTGTTTTGCCCGTCAAAGTTACAGGATGTCTTTGTCAAGGGTTCCGAAGCCTGGGTCTTGGTTGCAGAGAGATGCAGGGAAGCAAAGATAAAATTGAAACCTAAACATCCCAATGGGGTATTATGTCTGTTTAGACTCCAAGAAACTCCTTCTCACATTCTTAAAAGGCAAGCTGCTGAGGAGGGACAGAATTAGAGGGGATGTTGTTTTTAGTCCTAGGGTAAATAAGGCCTTGAACATCCTTACTTTTGCCCTGGAGGTGACCTGGGCCAGCTTTCTGCTTAGGGTCATTCAGTCACAGGAAGTCAAGCAAAAGGCTTGAGTTGTTTGTTTATTTGTTTGTTTGGGGGATGGAGGTTGAATGGAGAAAAGCAAAACCTAGGAGACCTTAGCACCACCAGCACCAAATCCTATCTGTCCTTGCCCCTTCCTGCTCTGTGGAAGGTCTTCCACAGGTCAGCCGGCTACCTGCCCGCTGCTCTCCTAAAGGGGCTCAGTGTTGGAGTCAGTGTTGGTGCAGGGGGAGGAGGGAGGAATCACCACCCAGCCCCACACTCACACAAAAGCATCAACTTCTCACACAGCTGCTTCCAACAGGAGACATGTGGTAGGAAAGGTTGCTTCTGTGCTTAGGATTTCTTTCTTTTTTATTTTTATTTATTTATTTTTTTCATTTAAAAAATGAAATAGATAGCCCTAGCGGGTTTGGCTCAGTGGATAGAGTGTCGGCCTGTGGGCCAAAGGGTCCTGGGTTCGATTCCGTTCAAGGGCACCTACCTTGGTTGCAAGCCTGGTCAGGGCTCCTGCAGAAGGCAACCAATCGATGTGTTTCTTTCACATCGATGTTTCTCTCTGTCTTTCCCTCTCTCCTCCACTCTCCCTAAAAATCAATGGAAAAAATATTCTCGGGTGAGGATTTATAAAAAAAAAAGGAATATAATAAAAGAGAACTTTGAGACATGCACAAAAGAGAGAGGAGAAATTGGATAGATTACTTAACCTCTGGGTCTCAGTTTGCTCATCTATGAAATGGGCAAGTGGAACTAAATGCCTTCACCTAACCCTGACATTCTCTGTTTCTCCAGGTGGGGAAGGGGCTGTGAAAAGTGGGCACAAGACAGAGCAATCACCTTGCCGTATTCGTGCTGGTGACTGGCACTTCCCAGGCTGGAGGGTCATTTCTGGGGATGGCCTACGAGACATTTGGAAAGAGGTTGGTAGTGTTTGCCTCTAGCCTTAGTGTTCCCACCCAATCTCTCTCTCTCTCTCTCTCTCTCTCTCTCTCTCTCTCTCTCCTTTACCTTTCAAAGGGAATTGTTTGTGATTGAACGTGTGGAAGCACAAATAGCTCTGCGGAACTAGTTAGGAAAGTCAATGTGCAATTAGGCAAAAGTCCACAGCCAGGCTCCCTAGGAAGCAGAGAACAGCACTCGGAGTAACGGGCGCGCTTCCCCTTCCCTGGGGAGGTCGGTGAGCGACTCCCTTGTGTCCTGGTGGCCGCAGGGCTGGATCAGGTTCCCTCCGGGGTCGGTGTCCCCGACTTTGTCTCCGCTTCTGCCACTCGCCATCTCCTCCCTCTCTCCGCTTCTGTCACTGCCACGCCGTGTCTCTCTCCTTTCCTTCCCGACTCCCAACCTTTAACCA